ATGCCGGGCCCTATTGAAAGAAAAAAACTAACAAGTGCAGGTCAAACGTATATATAAAAGTTCCACTTAATTCAGTTTGTATTTCGTGAAAAAGGAGAATTTAAAGTCTAGTCGCATTTAATGAAACACAAAAAAAGGCAAAATACGTAACGTTCTACACTCTACGGTAATGATCATAATTTCATTTTAGGCGCATGGTGCTATTATACATGAGTAAGTAAAAAGGAAGAGAAGGATAATGTTTGGCATAATGAAACATTAAGCTATATTAGTTACTTAATCTGATTAGCATGGTAACTGTGTTACCATCATCATACATCTGTATTCAACTAAAATAATCTTATTATATTCAAATTGCCTATAGACTTTTATATGTGGTGTGCAAATATTTTGCATTTAAAATCTGAAATATTTTCAGTCTTTCATTCGAAATTATTCATTTTTTCTTATTTCAAATGTTGGAACTATACATAAAGGTTGAACTTTTTTTGCTAAGTTTTATTTGTTTTACTGCAAAGCTACACAAGGGTTTTCTGCGTTCTGTTCACCGTGGGGAACCGAACCCCAGTTTTTTTTTTTTAGCGTTGTAAATTCGCGACTTACGGCTGGTCCACTGGAACAATTTTTTTTAAAGTTGGAAATATCTAAAGTATTTTTCAGTTTGTTTAGATGCATTGTTCTTGATTTGAGATTTAAAATTTTCATCTTTTTGAAATATCGTGAAACAAATAAAAAAGACAACCACTAACAAATGAATAATATAACATTGCAGTAACTTATATAATGTATGACCTAGCGTTTGACGTGCTGGGCTGGGGATTGGAAGATCCAGGGCTAGAGTCGCTATATATTGCAAAACAATTTTCATACTGTAAACTATGGGGGCTTTATAACTATTGCAGTCAATCCCGCTATTAGATTAAGTGATAGTTGTGTGGGCGATAAATGCTTCAGACTGGTTACCCTCCCTATGTTCAGTAGTTATAAATTAGGGGTAGCTATATTTGAACCTTAGAATTTCTGACCTGACCATTTAGATCACATGTAAGATAAAAATTACCAATATAAGTATAAAACACAGTAGAGAAGATTCCGTTTTTAGATGCAAAATGTCTCCAGGTGACAAAACGACCAGTCAAAATGAGCAAAATACATAAAAGTTTCTTAAATAATAATCCAAAACTACCTATAAGTTCCTTCAAACATGATAAATAAATACAAATTCGATTAACATTATTTCTTCCGATCAGAGCAAGTTAACTATTTAGAGCAAAACTGAAAATCAATATGTTAACGAGCACAGTTAATTAAATATACTTTTCATACGTTGTTTCTTGTAAAGATTAGAATGCGTTGTTTCATCAGTTGTATGATAGTTCAACTCTGTTAGTTACTAGAAAGTTAGTTTAAATTTTAACTTTAGATAACGTCATCTCGATATAGAGTGCACAGAGACAAAAAGCTACACATTCATATTAGAAATTGCGTATAACGTAACAGGTTTACGGCTACACATTCATATTAGAAATTCTGTATAACGTAACAGGTTTACGACTATACATTCATATTAGAAATTGCGTATAATGTAACAGGTTTAAGGGTACACATTCATATCAGAAATTGCGTATAACGTAACAGTTTTAAGGTTACACATTCACATTAGAAATTGCGTATAACGTAACAGGTTTAAGGCTACACATTCATGTCAGAAATTGCGTTTAACGTAACAGGTTTTGTTTTATAAGAAATACAGCTGTTGACGAAATTCAAGAAATTAATAAAACCCCTTTCATGTATTAAAAATGGGCTCGTTTCACATTTAACACGAGATGGGTTTGAAGCATCTTATCAAGACATTTTTTTTCCAAGAATAAAAAGTTACAATATGTGATTCTTATTTAGAGCTATTTGAAGGATTTCTAAGGCACTTTTCATGATATTGCGAGGTTACGCGTGAAGTAGAAAACAAATATAATTCACCTTTTATCTTTAAATGAATAAAGATCTTACATTGTTACAGTCTCAAAATATATTTTGATAAAAGGTAAAAAAATTCAAATGTGTGTGTACTATATTGTTTATTTTCATATCGCAAACAAATCATATATATATATATATAAAATACATGACGGACATGTTTTCACGTTTTTAATAGACATTTGTTAAAGTAAAACTGCCCTTAGTGTAATCTTTCCAACTTGAAGATCAACTGTTAATTATGACCCATTGATTTTTCTTAACGTAATATATATGTATGAACAGGATTTCATATACGTAATGAGTAGTTTTGATAATTATTCATCGTAACTATTTTATTTCCAATCGTCATTACCAGATGGCTACACAACAGACGACTTGGTATTTCTGTGGAAAGTTGACGATCCAGTACAGGTTACCAAAAACCTCCATCTTCCACGTTTTACGTTGGAAAAATACAACACTGAATACTGCACCAGTAAAACAAACACGGGTGAGTAGGGAGGATATTTTATAAATGTTTTAGAAGATAAATCTGATTACCATATTCTTACCACTCAATTCACCGGATAAATAAATTCTATATGAATGTTGAACTATACAACAAAGCATGAAACCTATAAGAGACGAAACCCAGCCAATTTCAAACTGAATTTTAACTCGTGAAACTTAGTCTTAAACACTTGAAACATCTTAATAATAAAGAAGAGAAGATCAAGGAATAAGTATGGAATATTACGAATCCTCAGTCACTTATGCATTAATATATATATATATATTATCCAATATCCAATATTAATTCTTGGAAACAAAGCGACCGAATATATTATACCAGAATGAACTGTATACTATTCATGCATCTATTTTCTCTCTACGTCATTGATTGAAACTTACTTGTATATTATTAGAAAATTATAATCATATATATAGTTTTTATTTGGAATCCTCTGTTTATAAAACTCTTTACGATATATATATATATATATATATGTGTGTGTGTTTTCTAAGTGACATTAAGTATATTACCGATCATGGCATTTGTATTAACACATCTTGACTACATCTGATTATTCCAAGAAGCTTTACCTTAGATTTTTACGTTAACAAAAAAAAATATATATAGTATTAGCGCACGGATATACTCCATTCTCAAGAAGAAAACACGTGCAGAAGTTCTGTAAACAACTGCACAGCATTCAGAAATATTCCAAATCAAAACCGCTGACTTATTCTAAAGCTTAAAAAGCTAAAAGAAAATATAATCGTATATCAGCAAATTTTGTTCTTATTCTCTCTTGAAGACTCTTGTTATACAAAAGGTTAGATTTCTTACTATAGTTGCTCTCTTATTCCACTACCGTTGCTTAATCAGCTGCCAGTTTTCTGCTGACTCAGAAAAAGTCATCTGCTTCACTTGGAACATGCTCATTAGCTCTGTAGCATGCCACATTGACTTGATTCTGGTGCAATCTTTGGTTCCTGCAGTTTTCGGTGTTTCTATTGCTCTATTTGAATTTTTTTTTAATATGTGAACCATCCAGCCGTAATTTTTCACGATTCTTAGTCAAAATTTAATTTTAAAACAATTTATACATTCTACTCTAAATTGTCGATCTTTTTTTTTGTTCATTTGTTGAATTTCGTTCAAAGCCCTCGGGGGCTATCTGTGCTGGACGTCCATAATTTATAGATGATAAACCAGAGAGAAGAAGAGAGCTAGTCAGCATCACCCACCGCCAGCTCTTGGGTTACTGTTTATCAACTAAAAGTCGGATTGACCATAACGTTATAACGCCTTCACGACTGAAAATGGGACAATGTTCGGTGACGGGACTCGAACCCATAACACGCAATTTGTGAATCGATACCCTAACCATCAGATCATGCCAGGCCTTGTTGATTATAAAATAGTATTTTTGCAGCTGTTGGAAAATTGGGCACTTTTTAATTTCGACCTTTGTCCATACACATTTCCAAAAAAAAAACTCTATACAGCAGTTTCCATTAATTGTGTTACAGTTAATTTTATGAGCTTCTCAGCCACACTTTCACAAAACAGTTTGTTAGATTCCCAAATTGCAGTTTTATGTAAGATAGAAACAAACTAAACAGTGAATGACACGAGAAAAACTGAATTATCTGTTCGTTTTTGTGTTTTTTTCCCATAAAATACACAATAAACTATCTGCGCCCTGTCCACCAGGGGAATTGAATCCCGGATTTTAGTGCTGTTGAAACCTGAACCAATTGCTCATTGAGCTACGTTTTGAGAATCTTGAGTTAATTCAGTGATATCTTGATCATTTAAATTTATTTCTAATAAAGCCCGTGTTCTAATTTTTCTTATATTATTTTTACACGAGATGCTTCATTTTCAAAACCCGAAGTGAAAATCAGGCACGTGCTAAAGAAGTGGCACTTCTTTCCATTAAGTATATATATGTACTTAAGTAAAAATAGCAATTGTGATATTCAACACGACGCATAAATAAACATATCATGGCCGTATAACAGTATTATTTAGAATAATATATTAACTTTTATCTTTTAAGATGATATAGCGGAGGTTATTTTGCTTCCGCCGAGTGCTGGAAAAACCTCATTAAAACGTAATAAGGTGATGTGCATGCAAAGGCCTTAGTAGTTAAAAAGAGAGAAGCGACGTAATACTTGCATCACTGGATCATGCTGTTTCAGATATCAATATTGACGACTGGTCAGATACCAGTTGTTTAATCATGTTTATGTAATTCAGAAGCTTGTGGCCCGGCATGGCCAGGTGGTTAGGGCGCTTGATTTGCAATCTGTCGGTCGCGGGTTCGAATGTCCGTCCTACCAAACATGCTCGCCCTTTCACCCATGGGGGCGTTATTATGTGACGGTCAACCCCACCATTCGTTGGTAAAAGAGTAGCCCAAGAGTTGGCGGTGGGTGGTGTTGACTAGCTGCCTTACCTCTAGTCTCTCACTCCTAAATTAGGGACGGCTTACGCAGATACCCCTCGCGTAGCTTTGCGTGAAATTCAAACCAAACATAATAAAAGCGCTAAAAACATCAAGGATGTCATCTACTATAAAATTAAATATGAAAACGTAAAACAGAAAAAATATCCTGTGATGACATTATCATTTTTTAAACAGCAACTTCATGCAATTGTTAAGTTTGCTTACTGATTACACGTCTCAAGTCATCCAGCCGCACTGGAAAGTCTTCCTTATATGTTTATCTTTCACTTCTAAACTTATCTTTAGAAGCAAGAGTTGTAACAGTTATTAATGATGAGTTGAAATCGATGAAGTAGCATTAAGTAATCATAGTGTGCAACGTTTGTTATGAAGTTAGTTGTATTCATATTTTATTATATAATTACCTTAGTGCAGAAATTCGTACGAACAGAAATAGCTTTAAAAGATAACTCCCAATAGAGTCGATCCTGTTACCGTAAATTATATTACCACGTCTGTTTGTTTGTTTTAGAGCAAAGCCGCATTGGGCTATCTGCTGTGTCCACCGCGGGGAACTGAACCCCGAATCTTTAAGCTCTTACACTTAGCGCCATCCCACCGGGGACATTATCACCAGTGGCGTAAGTATGACCCCCGCAATTGCCGGAGAGCCAAAGCCAAAAATGGACCCGAATCAGTCAGAATCATAATTACAATTATAGGGAAATAAATACGGGGAGGGGAGCATCTTTTGTAGTTACGCCACAGATTAACACGTCATATGGTTCAGTTTTTCTTTAAATCCGATCATTTAAGAGTTGTGTTTTCCGATGTTGGTTATCGAGATGTCCGTGTTTATGTTCACAGGGTTTTAATAAGGATCTCTAACTCTCTCTCTTTTTGTATCTCAAGATAAAAGCAAACATTTTTCATTTTCTTTAATATTCAATGCCCCCCCTCCCCCAGTGGCACAGAAGCGTGTTTGCGGACTTATACCGCTAGAAAACGGGTTTCGATACCCGTGGTGGGAAGAGCACAGATAGCCCTTTGTATAGCTTTGTGCTTACTCACAAACAATAACAACAATTGTATTCAAAATAAGATTAATCCACTCGATGTGATCAACCCTCTTAAACACACTGCGAAAATGCCTCATTACCTAAAAGATACAAGCCACACTTCTGGAGACTCTGACTATATTCACTGAAGAGCAAGCCTGGTCAGTGACTGTAATAAAATGAATGTCAGGATTAGGCGCTCATCAAATAGCTCTATAATCTACAATCAACAATAGTAAGTTAATTTTACAATAGGATCTTGTATAGATTATTGTCTCTTTATTAACATATTATGTCATAACCAACGAATGCGAAAAGTTTTAACGTTGCGTCCGGACATTGTCTTTGTGTTAGCTGATTATGAACCTATATTCATGTTAACGGTTTTTAGCATCACAGGGATTGCAACATGAATATCGTTACATACCCTCGAGCTTACCGCTGGACCATAGAGTTATCTGTACTAATGGTCTCTTTTTTTGGAACTGAAATACTAGAAGGAGGGCAACTAGTCAACATTACCCTCTGGATACTCTTGGTCTACTATTATCTCGCCAAATAGTGGGATTTGACCGTCACCCTTATAACGCACCCACGGCCCAAGAGTACAGGGCACGATTTTTTTATTCTTTACATATTTTGTGGTAATGGAATGCAACGGATTGACCCGAAGATCCGTTGTTCGGAACGCTAATTACTGGACCATGCTCAGAGAAGTAGGGGGTGGGGGACAATAAATCGAAGTGCGCTTCTGAACTTGCCTGATTTTGAAATAACTATATAAATAGTGTTTTAACGTTTTGTTGCTGATTACGTTATTTATAAAAGGTACAATTAAGTGACTCATGATGAAAACAATGATATAATTCACATACTACTCAAATTATAGGTTACTTCGATGCTCTTTATAAGGTTGATCGTTTAGTTGTTTTGAATTTCGCGCAAAGCTACACGATGGCTATCTGCGCTAGCTGTCCCTAATTTATCAGTGCAAGACTAGAGGGAAGTCATCACCATCCACCGCCAATTGTGAAATTGATCATCACATTATAACGACCCCACGGCTGAAAGGGCGAGCATATTTGGTGTGACGGGGGATTAGAACTCGTGACCCGCAGATTGCGAGTCGAGCGCCCTAACCACATGGCCATGCCGGGGCGCTCTTTATGAGAGAGCAGTAAGTTCATGTTTGAAGTTAATGCTAAGCAAAGTTTTAGTGAATAAATATTTAGCGTTCTACTCGCGGCGTCATAAAAATTGGGTAAGAACCGTATGGGAGTAATTAGATGTAATATGATACGCGTCGTTTCTTCAATGCTGTTATTTTTCTTTTCATCTTAATGATATTTGGTTTGTGAATCCACTTCAAACAACTTAACTTCGTATGCTTACCAAGCTAATGAGAACGTCATACGTGTAATCAGTTGTATAAGTGAAATTTATTTTTGGATTTTAGAGAACAGATTAAACATCACACCAGTAACTTTAACCAACTCCAGAAAACTAGTATTTTAAAATGTTTATTACATTCCGTTGTGATCTGTGTATGAGGAAAATCACTTGAAACTCATCTGCGGTATTGTACAGAAATTTAAATACAAAATGTGTGACGTAACGAAATCTTAAAAAAAAACTTTGCTGTAAAATATGTAAACAGGAATAAGTTAACTTTTGAAGGTACCGTTGCAAACATATAAGGTCATTCATGTAAACACCTTACTTGATAACTGCTAATTGGACCCATTAAATACACACTTTTTTTGCTTGATTTTAATCACCGTAGCATGTTTTGTTTTATCTTTGCTTGGTTTTAATGAACATAGCATGCCTATATATGTTTGCTCAGTTTTAATGACCATAGCATGTTTATGTATCTTTGGTTGATTTTAATGACCATAGCATGTTTTGTTTTATCTTTGCTTGGTTTTAATGAAACATAGCATGCCTATATATGTTTGCTCAGTTTTAATGACCATAGCATGTTTTGTTTTATCTTTGCTTGGTTTTAATGAACATAGCATGCCTATATATGTTTGCTCAGTTTTAATGACCATAGCATGTTTATGTATCTTTGCTTGGTTTTAATGAACATAGCATGCATGCTTGTATATGTTTGCTTGGTTTTAATGACCATAGCATACTTATATATCTTTGTTAAATTTCAATTACCATAGCATGCATATTTATATCTTTGTTTGGTTTTAATGAACATAGCATACTTATATATATCTTTGTTAAATTTTAATTACCATAGCATGCATATATATATATATACATCTTTGCTTTGTTTTAATGAACATAGCATGCTTGTCTATCTTTGCTTGGTTTTAATGACTATAGCATGCTTACATATCTTTGCTAAATTTTAATTAACATAGCATGTATATATATGTTTGCTTAGTTTTAATGGCCAATGCGTGTTTAGGTATCTTTGATTGGTTTTAATGACCATAGCATTTTTTTTTTTTATCTTTGCTTGGTTTTAATGAACATAGCATTTTTTTTTATCTTTGCTTAGTTTTAATGACCATAGCATGTTTATCATATTTGCTTGGTTTTATTGACCATAGCATGCTTATGTATCTTTGCTTGGTTTTAATGAACATAGTACGTTTTTTTATCTTTGCTTAGTTTTAATGGCTATACCATTCTTATATTTCTTTGCTTAGTTTTAATGACCATAGCGTGTTTATGTATTTTTACTTGGTTTTAATGACCAAAGCATGCTTATATATCTTTGCTTAGTTTTAATGACCATAGCATACTTATATATCTTTGCTAAATTTTAATGACCATAGCGTGCATATATATCTTTGCTTAGTTTTAGTGAACATAGCATGTTTGTTTATCTTTGTTTGGTTTTAATGACCATAGTATGCTTATATGTCTTTGCTTGGTTTTAATGACTATAGCATGCTTATATATATTTGCTTACTTTAATGACCGTAGCATGCTTATATATGTTTGCTTAGTGTTAATGACCATAGCATGCTTATATATCTTTGCTTGGTTTTAATGACCATAGCATGCTTATATGTCTTTGCTTGGTTTTAATGACTATAGCATGCTTATATATGTTTGCTTAGTTTTAATGACCATATCATGTTGTTGTTTTTTTATCTTTGCTTGGTTTTAATGACCATAGCATGTTTATTATCTTTGCTTGGTTTTAATGACCATAGCATGCTTATATGTCTTTGCTTGGTTTTAATGACTATAGCATGCTTATATATGTTTGCTTAGTTTTAATGACCATATCATGTTGTTGTTTTTTTATCTTTGCTTGGTTTTAATAACCGTAGCATGTTTATATATCATTGCTTGGTTTTAATGACCATAGCATGCTTATATATCCTTGCTTGGTTCAAATGCTCTAAGTAAATATATCGAGACAAGACAGACCTTGAGTAAAGATCCTAATTAACACCCTCAAGTTTTAATTAAATAACGTAGACAACTGCCATCCACGAGATATTAGGGTATAAAAAATCTCTCTAATGTTATTACACACAAACATTTTTCAAAGTAAGTCGTGCTTATTTTTTTTTACAAGTATTCTCTGAAATTGAATATAAGAGTGTAACATAGCGAGATATATATATATACAGTAATGTTAATGTCATAAAGTTATAACAAATGCTCAGGAACTATCATTATTCAGAGTGCAATCTTAAAATACATGTGGAAGAGGTGCAAATATATAGAGAGAGATTTATAAAATTCATTAATGTAATTAACAACTTCCGAAGCCGGACATTCACATAATTTATAACTACCAGACTTATCAACTGCTTACCAAATGCTCATTTGGTAGGATTAACTAGTAAAATGTATAACATGGAATTTTCCGTTTTAACTTCAGGGAAACGTATTGTGGGGGGGATTAACCGTTCCATAGTTTTGTAGATAGTATTATTCTGTTGCTATTTGACTTATAAATTTGTTGCGCCCAGCGTACTGACGTTAACCAACAATTCTAAAAAGTTCTACAATGGACTAACGTAACCTAACGTAACCTTTCTTGCTCTGCACTGCAAGAGTTGATGGGAGGTGCTGTTGAACTGCTTATTAGTTCAAAATAAGGGGCATCCATGCTCAGTAGCTTTTGTGTAGCTTTGCGCAAACATTCTAAATAACTGTAAGATTCCATAGCATCTGATCTAAAACGTTCGTATATTTTAAAGCATATAAATCTACGAGTTTTAAACTATATTTTATTCTATTTTCTCTCAGATATTAGTTTTAAGCCGTTCTACAAAATATATGCCATTAAGCATAAAGTGATTTACTTTTACAGACAGCTATATCTACATACGGGAGTATGATATTAATATTTCCTTCTTAACGTCACATTTTAGGTGAATACAGTTGATATTAATATTTCCTTCTTAACGTCACATTTTAGATGAGTACAGTTGATACTAATATTTCCTTCTTAACGTCACATTTTAGGTGAATACAGTTGACATTAATATTTCCTTCTTAACGTCACATTTTAGGTGAATACAGTTGTATCCGAGTGGACTTGATCTTCAAGAGAGAATTTAGCTACTACCTGATCCAGATCTACATCCCCTGTTGCATGTTGGTCATTGTCTCTTGGGTATCCTTTTGGCTGGACCAAAACGCTATCCCTGCACGTGTTTCGCTAGGAGTAACCACACTCCTTACGATGGCAACTCAAACTTCCGGTATCAACGCGTCACTTCCACCCGTGTCCTACACCAAGGCCATCGACGTTTGGACAGGTGTATGCTTGACCTTCGTTTTCGGTGCACTACTGGAATTTGCCCTGGTCAACTATGCCTCACGAACGCACATGCATAAACAGGCAGCTAAGCAACAGCGGAAATGGGACATCGAGCACTCTAGTTTGGACACTGACCACATAGAGGATGGCACTAATACGTTCGCCATGGTATGATAGTTTTATGAACACAATGTGTTATAAAAAAAATTTAAAGTAGCTTCAAACTTGCTTATATTCCTGTTTGCCTTTCTTTTTTGTTTGTTTCTTTGAAAAAATAATGCAATAATATTTGCCCAGATCATTTATCGTGTCAATGATGTAGATACTTAACACTCATTAGTATTTGCGTAGATTATAACCACCATTTATATTTAGTGTGGACACTAAAGACCTATAGTTATTGGCTTAGATATTTAACGCTTATAGTTGTTGGCGTACATTGTAACATTCATTCGTTTTTGGTGTGGATACTTAACACTCGGTAGTTCTTAGCGTAGATATGTGAAAACTATTCATGCTTGGTATGGATACTTAACACTCATTCGCATTGGTATAACTGCTAAACACTCAGTAGTTCTTAGCGTAGATATGTGAAAATTATTCATGCTTGGTGTGGATACTTAACACTATTTGCATTGGTATAACGCTAAACACTCAGTACTTCTTGGCATAGACATTTAACAATTAATCATGCTTGGCGTCGATGTTTAATATTCACCGACTTAATAAAAAAGAAAACACCTTTTATTAAAGAAAATGAACAATGAAGATATATATTTATGTATATCAGCGTATAAACAATATACAATTAAACTGCAGGTTCTCAAGCTTCACATAATTATCATATATTTGTACATTTTTTCCATGCTAAACCTACGATGTTATTAACCTAGACCAAAGAAAAGGCCACTTGTTTATATTTTAACCTGAATATCACCTTATAAGACACGTGGGTTAAACGAATAAGTCAGAGAACCGAAGGTTCAGGCATAGCTATCCCTAATTTTGAACTGCTATCAAAAAGGAGAGTACCTCTTAATTTCACAGAACTCATTGCCTGTGCGGATATTCGTAACGGAATAGCGGAAATGATTATTACTTTTATAATGCAACCGCAACTGAATGTGTGTAGCGCGTTCACTGTCATGTCGCTGGCTCAAACCTTGGGCCTTTGGTTTTGCAGCCCGGAACGCTAATCACGAGACCATGCCTAATCGCACAGTCATAGTTTTAAGGCCCCAATTTAATTAACATTCGTGTTTAGAATTACACACGTTTTTCCATTAACTCTTTTACTATAGTTTTTCGTACCGTGTTACCTTTTTTTTTCCAATATTTGTTGTTGTTTTTTTGTATTATCATCAAAATTTTGCTTTTGCAATTTTTTAGTTATTTCCTTGTTGTCTTTTTTCTGTGTCATGTATATTACACTATATATTCCTACTGAAACAATCGATTGTTTTCAGAAGCCCCTCGTCCACCATCGTGGAGACATCCATTCTGATAAAATTCACCAGTGTGAAATTCACATTAAGCCCCAGAAGAGCATCAACCCTTGCAAGGCCTGGCTCAACAAGTTTCCATCCCGATCCAAGCGAATTGACGTCATGTCTAGGATCCTGTTTCCTCTTATGTTCGCCCTCTTCAACCTCGTCTATTGGATAACCTATCTTTTCCGGAATGAAGACGTGTGATCCTCTGGAACTATCGTCTGATACGTGATATCTCGGGGTTTGTTACGTAACAGTTTAAATGAGTTGGAAATGTAGGTTCTTAGGCTTGTTCGTGATGACTTGGAAATGTAGGTTGGTAGGCTTATTCATGAAGATGGAGCAAGCTGCTGAGAAGAAATTCAAATACTTTTATTTCTTCTCCGATATGTTCTCAAATAAGTAGTCTGAATTACGCATTATATTCAAAATCCGATATTATTCGTAAAATATTGTGATCTGTGGCTATTTGTAAACTCTTGTGATCTGTGACTACGGTTGTAGCGCAGCCAAATGTAAACAGCACAGTTTCCATCTTCTGGTTGAGATTCTACCAAGACATTTCCTGGAGCATCAACTTCACTGAGATAATGCAGAACTGTGGGATCACATCCAAAGAACATGTGGTTATCATGATTTTGCTCAGTAGTATGGATATGGGACTTTGTCAGAAGTAATGTAATATATATATGTGTGTATATGCAGCGCGTTTGTTGGAGAAAGATAGCAATAACGAATTAGATCACGAAATCTGACGTAAGCACACTGATGATCTTTATATCCCTAGCGTACGTTAAGTTACACTTAATTTTAACCATACATAGTTAATTACAATTTTACATATATCAGTGATGTGTTTTTTTCAAGTAAAATAACTAAAAATTAAACAAATTATATTTCAAAGAAAATTCTAACATTTGTGTAAGTACGTATACAGGCGTTTTATGTTCTTTTGGAACGTTCTTGGTTGTTTGATTACGCTGACTGCAAATAATAATCAAACACTCTGTGGACTGTGTATACCGGCAAAGTGCTATCTATCATATAGAGTCATACAAGACTGAAAGTGGTTTGTTTGGTATAAACTATTGTTGATTTATATCTAAAATATTTAACTCAGTTACAGATTCAAAATTACCGTTATTTCGTATCTTAGGGAATTTCATCCGTTAACTTCAAGAAGAAAAAAAACAACTGATTTATAAAAAAAAGGGCTTATTTCACTTATACAGGCTGTATCTCTACTGCCCAATTTTAAGAATTTAATGTCACTTAATTAATCGGTCACAGCTTGTTAATTTACAAACAGCAGTCATTTTCCAACAGAAGCTCCGATTAGAACCAGGCTCGAAAGGAATAATTATATTTACTAGTTAGTATAGTGCTACTCTATGAACAGTTCGACGTTGTCTATGAATTATAGACTATAAGTATTGTTTTTTGTTTGTTCTTCACTTTCGCCTGTGGTCGGAAGAAAAAAGGAACATGTAGGTTTTTCCTGTTGTTTGAAGCCACTGGGCGCAAATATTTACGATCAAACCTAAAAGCATTTTGTACAGTTTATCTATATCAGCTTTGGTAGCAGCAGTACTAGTGGCTCAAGTATATTGTGCGTTGTTTTCATTTGGAATGAACAAAATAAAGTTGTTAGCTGCTATGTAATAAAAGGTTTGGGTTTTATAGGAATTGTATCTCAACCAACAGTGTTTTGTGTTTAAAGTTTTTTGTATGTAAAATTTTCTGGAAGTATTTACTTGTTTAGATATATTTCTCTGTTGCTTCTATACAAAAAACTATCAGATTAAGATAATTGGATACTAATTTTTAGATAAAACGTCTGTACATATATATTTAATGAGATTTTACTAAATTCCACAGAAGCAAATATTGTGTGTTTTAGTGTATTTTAGCCCAAAACAAGTAAAAATATACAATAGAGTTTAAATACACACTAACGGAACAATACTAAATTTCTATGGATAATAGTTTCAACATTTGCATGTTCTCTTCAGTCCGTGCCCGGCATGGCCAGGTGGATAAGGCGCTCG